ATGTCTGGTGGGAAAGTGATCTCTAATCCTCTGAAAATGAAAGACAAGGGGACTTTTTTAGATACATACTTTATTGTTTTCTTGTGGCAGACAATTGGATTTTGTATAGCATTTAGACACTAGAGGAAATATGATTGCGGCTGTATGGAATGATATGTCAGATCTTCTGTATCTGTAACCTCAATAACATCACTCAACCAAAACTACAATTCAAAAAGAAAAGACAGATGAGACTAATACACAGTGTTCTTGTGACATATGGTATTTATTTGTGATATCCTCTCCAGTGTTTGCGTGTGCTAGCTTTTGGCTGCCAAGATTCGTTGCTTTTAATTTACTGTAAACTTCAGGAAATTGCACAATTGCACTGAAGTTAATAAACCCTAAACTATTAATACTGCCAATTTGTACTGTCATTTCATTGTCCTATTAAACCTTTGATTGTAAACTCTAGATAGCCGACATAAAGGACTGCTGAATTTTAGTTTTCATGTCAGTTCTGAACTTACAGTTGTTACAAATACGCAGATGTACAGTAAATATGATCCATACTCTATAAGGACTATTTTGTGTATTCAAGAATGGCTTTGTTTAAACAACATTATTATACCTAATTTTACAAGCATGGTTAATCTAATAAAATGACTTCGGAAAATATTTCTATAATATTTAATCTCTGATCTAGTCTAGTTGATAAAAGTTTATTTCAGCTTACAATTGTCATGCATAGTGGTTTGCTATAAATGCATCGCTAACTCCATGATTTTAATGTCTACATCTAAAAATATGGCATTTGGTTCTGCACCTTATTACCTGTTATTTATTTATTTGTAATTACATGACAAAGGATTCCCAGAGCACTATAGGTTAGCTATAGGGACAGGGCAGCAGAAGCTACCTGCCTCAGGACTGGCTTTGTCTGACTGAAATCTCAAACCTAGCTATTTGATCATGAACACGTCACTTCTCTGACTCAATTACTTGTGTTGCCGTCCGTCCGTTTTTTTACTACGGGCGGACGGCAAGAGGTTAATGTCAGTTTGCACTTTGAGGTCTGTAAACAACATGCGTCTTACCAAAAAGGCCAATGCGTCTTACCAAAAAGTTTCTCCACTATGTTTGCCACTTGCAGCTAGCAAATAAGGCTAACTAGTGTAACTGGGTACCAACAGATTCAACCCCAAAGCTTCCAGTAAGTTCAGTCCACAGAATGTACTTTATACAGTATATCCAACATTCAAATTGATCCAGCCCATACTGGCTAAACAGCTGCAAGGGTTGGAGTGATTCAGAACCTACAGATTCACAATTCTCTTACATTAGAATGTTCTGTAAAGCTTGGAAACTAACAGGTCTATTCACAAAAGGGAGAAGAGTTTAAAGAAGGCAGGAGAAGTGAACAATCTAGGACAACATAGCTGAACTGGAAAGTGAGCTGAATTGGAGAATTTTTCAGTCATTAAAGGAGATCTATGGGGTCAGGGCTTTTCCCCATAGTTCTCCTTAGGGTAACGGGAGGACACAAACTAGCGTCCTCCCGTTACCCTAAGCTCAGTATACCGCGAGCTGTATACTGAGACGCCGCAGCCGGAGCGGATCCCGACGTTGATGTCGAGATCCGCCCAGCTGCGTGAGTGACAGCTGGCTCTGCCTATCTAGAGGCAGAGCCAGCTGTACCCGCCCCCTCCCCCGTCCGTTCCGCCAGTCAGAGCTGGAGGAGCGGGGAGGGGGGAATCCAGCGAGAGGTGGGCGAACGCCGGTATATGTTCGCTCACCTCCCGATCTACTGAGCCGACCTGTGACAGCACTCACCTCATAGTTCTCCTTTAAGAATTTTTTCAGTTATTTCAAATCAGCTACGGTATTTTGGCCTAGATTTACTTCTCCTGCCTTCTCCAAACTCTTTAAACTGTAAAGAATAGTCCTGTAAATATCAAATTTGAGCAGCTCAGGCAGTAGCATTGTGTCAGTATTTGTGTCTGCTTGTTCGGTAATTGATTTGAAAGCCAAGAGGACCTTTTAAAAAAAGAAAGTTCTAGGGAAGAATTTACAGGAACCTATCAGATTCAAAGATGCTCTTAAAATGAGAGTTGTGAAATAAGTTAAAATCCGATTGATTGCTGTGAATTACTGTTACCAGCTGTACTTTGTACAAGTCTTTATACTATAAATACAGCAAATTAGGTACAAGTAGATATCTCTTCAAGGGACATCATTACTTTTTTTTTTATATTAACCTTCTATATTGAAAGCTGATCTCTGGGTTTCACCTATTCCCTCCCCCACAACTGATTGATGGCAAGACAAAAAAAAAGCTAAATTACCTTTTCAATTACCTAAACAACAGTTATGTGACCCTTCAGGCCAGAGTATTCTCTCCTCTTCTGTTTACAGGAGGTGGGATCCTTCTTTGGGTATCCACCTTACTGTCTGCATGACGTGTACACATCGTATTGGCTGTCCAGTGGAGGGGTCCTCTCAGGATCCAGAAGAGGAATCTGCAGCCGTGATGTCAGTGAGAGAGGACTGTGAGGGTACATCTGCTGAATGACTGGCACCCAGAAACAGCCCAAATGAGAGATCTAAATGGTGGACGTAGGTAAATATATCTTGTTTGTAAGAAAAAGATGTGCAGGCCAGGTTAGAGGGACTAATATTTGCCCAGATATAACCTTTATTACTTTCAAAATATACATTGTAAAGAGCATGTTTAGATTTCTACATATTTATAGGGGGCCTATAAGCAATTCCTTGTCATATGTTTAGAGCAGTAAAATTTCACTTCCCAATATGGCTACTAGACCAGTATAGTGGGAAAACATTTTTTTTAGATTATATTTAGTTATCAGCATTACTGAGCCTATTGTCACAATATCCGGAAATCCGTGCCGGATTTTCGCTCTGCTCCCTGTTTCTGGGCTTTGGCTATATTTCCCAATCATCAAATGTTTTTATATACGAGTCTTTGCACTGTTACAACATATAAATACAATTCATTCATCAAATGTGTGATTACGGATGACTGAACCTGCAAAAAAACATGGGTTGCAGGTTTACTTTGGAAGAAACAATGCAAGTAAGGGCAATCATGGCTGTGAAGATCTGGAATACAAGATTAGTTTGTCACAGGTCAGCATACTTCCAGAGTTCCTGCACAGCATTTGTTTGTCTTTCAATGACCCTTGAAAGCTACAAATAGACTGTGTAAACACTACGGAAAACAGAAAATGTAGAAAAAGACATAGATACTAATGATAAGAACTGGATCATCCACGAGGCAACCTAGGCAAAAGCCTAGGGCCCAGGGTATGTCCAATAGGCCCAGCTACAACCTTGATGATCCAGCCATAAACTGGAGTATAGCACAGTTGGTCAAAGATGTTTACCTTCCTGCTACATCACAAGGGGGGATGTACTTGTAAATAGGTGTCTGATGTGTTAGAAGATGTCAATACAGACAATTCACATGGGGCAGTGTCCACTGTGCCTACTGAAATCCTTATAAATGTCAATCAAAAGGATGGGAGTGTCCAAAGCTGCAACCATACCATGCCTAGGGCCCAATTCTACCTAAATCCATCTCTGCTAATTACATAATAGATGAGGTCAGTCAATACAATGAAAATCACCAACAATGGAAATGTGACTGTTTTCAGAAAAATGTAAAGAGCACCAGTCACAATTGCAAATTTATATTAATCTGAATCATCACTTTGGAGCCCCCACAGAAGATGTCTTTCTTCCTCTCTGAGCCCAGTGTTAATAACAGACTGTCATAAAGCTGTCAAATAATAAAGATGATGTTACAATTACATGAAAGAAAACTGTCAATTGACAGTTTTATGTCCTTCAGTAGCCTGGAGATTGTGTCTGCATCAGACTTGACGGAGTACACAGTATAGTCTCTGTGGGGCTAAACTACCCCCCTCCCCTTCCCCCAACTAATACTTGGGATAGTAAAAACAGGATAACCAGCTATTCCTGAAATATAAGGATATAAGGATACATTATTAAGAGAAGGTAAAGTGGACCAATGTTTACAAAAAATCACACCTCACATAAACCAATAAAACATGTTGGCATTACCCTATTACATTATTCTTTTGAAAAAAAGTATCTGTTTCCCGAGTAAAAACTGAGTTTTTATGGATGACTGTCACTGGATGTAGGATAAATGCGTCCAGCGACTGATCTATTCCAAACTGCATGTAATCGTACCATGTACAAATATATGTGGATTGCCACTTGCAGATCTGGCCACGGTAACCATGTCATTTACTTCAATGGGTACACCAGCCACATCTCAACAGGGACACCTGGGATTCCTGCTGCAGGAATCCTTACGTTCTTGTCACAGGAATCCCAGAATGCCCCATGTGAATGGAGTTTTAGGGTAAAGTTAAGCTCCCATAACAACCAATCAGAATTCTGATGGGATGCTATGGGTTACTGGACTTTCTGTTTAGCACTTTATTCCTTGCACTGTATTGCATCAGGCTGTTTGGTGTTGTATTGGATACATCAGTTTAACAAATTCTTTTCAGGATATGTCATCACTGGAACCTCAGATAAATATAAGACGCCAGAATGTGATTCAACCTGCCAGCACTGATGCAAACTAAACTATCGCTGATGTATCCAAATAATAAGATAGACTTGTACAGACCTGGTAACCAGGTAGGGCATTGCTGTCTGTCTAGTCATCAAATGGAGGGATAAAGCAACTAGGCTTTATAAAGAGCACCTAGTGTAAGATGTAATGAACTTGAGGATCATGTGTCTCTTATGATTACTGGTTCATTGTACTCCTTATATGCAAACCTCCACCAAAAAATGCATTATCATCCCCATTTTAAAGGGTGCAAGGTCAATATTTGCAAGGTAACATATTTAGGCAACAAACACTGTATTATATATATATACAAAATGATCAAAGATTTAGAAAACAGCATAACTATTTCTTACCTTCCAATGTCCAAATTCATTGAGAATGGCTCCTAGCTTCTTAGTATTGCTATGTAATCGATGTGTGGCGATTGCTGGGTTAGGATCCCTCCAATCAACAGAAAGTCGATGGTGCCAAAGCCGCTCTCCTTCATGAATGTGAGCAGACCCAATGCTTGGATCAAAGCGATGAACTTCACAACCTCCAGACGCCATGTTCACTTCAAATATGCTGTCATCTTCTCCTAATCTGAAACACAGAAATTTATTTTTTAAATGTCATCACCTTCTACTAATTAAGTCATAAACTCTGCTCACTCTGTTTTCTCCTTCTTTCAGCATGTTCCCTGGCAGTACAAGCTCATGCAGCAGAGTCTGATTACCCCTAGTACACCCAAGTGTGCTGTGCAAAGGATTAAAAAAAAGCTGATACCAATACTTATTCGGGTACTTTCCCAAGCTGTACATAAATATGTATTTGTGGTCTGATATAGTGCACATGACCCTAAATAAGTGGTATGAAGTGTGCCCTGACCGCCACTGACAGTATGCCTAAAGTGGGCATTACTTAAAAGAATTGGCAAGATTAAGGGGGGAGGGAGGGCGTGCTGCGTGTCCTGATGCTAAACCATGCCTCTATATGTCACTGCATTCAAGGAGGAAATCCTGTGGGATCCTTCTTAAAGTAAGTATACTGTAAGCCAATGTTATAGGCGTGTGTGCAGCCTTTTGCATTAGGGTGTGCACCCAAAAGCACAAACCGGCGAGAGATTAGAAAGATCTCCTCCAACCAGCTCAAAACTGAAACGGCTCCCGCAACTGCCAGTACTGCTTGTGCAGGGATCCATAAAGGGACCACATTGTACCCCATTATATACATCACCCCCAAAATACAGGGCCCACAATGCACACCATTATATACAGCACCCCACAATACAGGAACCACAGTGCACACCATTATATACAGAACCCCAAAATACAGGGGCCACAATGCACACCAATATATACAGCACCCCACAATGCAGAAACCACAGTGCACACCATTATATACAGCACCCCCAAATGCAGGGACCACAACGCACACCATTATGTACAGCACCCACTAATACAGGGACCACAGTGCACACCATTATATACAGCACCCCCAAATACAGGGACCACAATGCATGCCATTATATTTAGCACCCCAAAAATAAAGAGAGCACATTGCACCTTAGGGATGCACTGATACCGAAACCAGTATCGCTATCGGTGCTGATACCAAGTATTTCGGCAAGTAATCGTACTCACCCAAATGCTCCCGATGCCTATCCCGATACAGGAACTTTCGGTATCAGGAAGCCGGACGGTGAATCATTACACGTTGCCCAGCTTCCTGATTGGCCAGGAAGCCGGATCCATGGGAAGCTTGCCAATCAGAAAGCTGGGCGGCGAGTCCTTAGCCGCCCCCCCCCCGGCTTCCTGATTGGCCAAAAAGCTGGCTCCATCCTTCCTCATCACCTGGTGACGAGGGAGCATGGAGACAGCTTCGCGGCCAATCAGGAAACCTAGGAATGCCTGTGCCAGCGTCGCCACTACACACTGAGCTCATTTCACAGTACTGTGTTTGGCGCCCACTACTACAGTACTGCTGTTGCGTACAGGGGTGATTAGGGTATGCCTAGGCACACACGACACAGCCCGTATGCACACATATGGACCTAGAACAAGTATAAGGATCAGGCTGACTTTCAGGAACTGCACACTGGTACAGTACTGTACTAGCAAGAGAGACAACTAACATTTTCATAAGCGGGTAAGTAATGGCAGTCAACACATTGTTCTGAGTACTTTTTTTCCGTTAATTTTTATTCTACAGGGTCGTGGCATTCAGAAAATATATAATGTTGGGGGGTTTTACGTCATTTTCAGGCCTAAAATGTGGAATATAACATGGGTGCAAAAAATGAAAAAAGGGCCTCAGTCATGAAGGGGTTAAAGGAGTGCAATCAGTGTGATATTGGATATTGTGTAATTAGCTCTCCTAAACATAATTGTAACATTATGCACTAGGACATAAAATGTCATAAGCACTTTTGAAAGTCACATCAGGCTCCTCTTACAAATAGAAATAATTATGACAAAGCTAAAAGAAGGAATTTGTTGTCATGGGCAGAAAAACACATAATTTACATCACTTTCAACTGCCAGTCCAATATGTTCACAAATAAACAGATTAAGGGGTAAGAATCTAACAGCCGTTATTTGTAGTAAGATGACTTCTGATCAAGGGCTCGTTCAAAGTTTTTTTTTTTAATAAAGAGTTATTTAAGTATTTCCTGTACATATTTTCTGGGAAAGGTAGGTGTGTGTGTGTGTGTGTGTAAGTGAATGAAGGGGGGTGGGAGTGGGGGGAGGGGGGGTGTGATGCATGCATTTACCAAAAGCATTGAAAGGCACATGTTGCCCATCTTTCATTTAGTACTATTTTTATCAGTTGAAAGCACAGTTAAAATGAAGCAAGAAATGAACATATTCTGAAACATACTGCATTAAGCCTACTCATGAGAATGACACTATTTTAGAAAGTAGCACAGAATCTTTCATGAGCTTTAGTTATATCCTACAATACAAGAAAGCACACCTCAATAGCCTAAACAAGTCTTTCTCAATCACGGTGCCGTGGCACCCTGGGTTGCCTTCTGACATTTGGCCTGAGGAATCAGATGTAAAGGGTAACTGAGGACTCTGATGTGAAGAGGGGACTTAGGATTCTGATGAGAAGGGAAAAGTGAGGACTCTGATGTGAAGGGTGCTCCTAATGTGAAGAGGAACTCAGATGTAAAAGAGGGGTCGCTGATGTGACAGGGGCTCTTGGTGTGAACAAGAGGGACTCTGATGTGAAAGGAGGAGGCATCTGATTCAAAGGGGGCTCCTGATGTAAATGGGGATTCTGATTTAAAAGGGGAGGCTCTGATGTGAAGGGGGCTCCTGATGTAAAAGGAGGAGGACTTTTGATGTTAAGGAGGAGCATCAAGTTAAGGGGTAAAAGCACCCACTGTTTTGTGCTTTTGCATTGGGCCCCCCTTAAAAATCTACCCCTATCTCAGATAAATATCTGGTATTGATTTTGGAGTAGAAATTGTTTTTGTAACATTTACATTTTCTGAATGTCTAGATTGGGGTTCCACAAGATTTTTAGAAACATTGGCCTAAATTTAAGAAACATTGGCCTAAACTGTGATCAGACTTTAAGAAAAAAAGAGGGGACACATGTTGACCCAGCACCACGGTGCAATATTGATTTGTATTATTTTGAAAATAAATCTGCAAAGTTTTTCATTTACAAAACAAAAAAATACCTGTGATAGGGTTATGACACGTCCAACATGGAAACATAGATACAAAAAATTGTGTACAAAAACTGACCAATTATTAGACATGGCAAAATCAATCATATAGACTTTAAACTAGCAATCTTCTAGTTTTCAGTTCCAGATCATTAGGGAAAGGGTAAGGAAGGGCTCCATTACAACATGTGTTTCCAATAGTCAGAGAAATGTGTAGTGTAAACTGTGAATAGGGTTGCTATGAAAAAAGGAGCCAATTCAAGAGACACAGTATTTATACACCCATATGATAATCAACGTTGCATGCAGATTTGTGTGTAACTGTAGGATTATTTTTCAATGTTTGTTCATGTTGCTATGGAAGTCTTTGCTCAGATGAGCAAATCTTACAGACACAAATTATCAACTAATGCCAGCGTTTGCATTTGAATATATGAATTTAGGAAAACAACTATGCTGTTACATACTTTTTTTTATATGATCGATGGGTCTTTTCTATCATTATTTAAAAACAAACAAAATTATGATTGCAAACACAAATGTATCATCTTAAAAAGAATTCCAATGCACCTTCCTCGTTCTCCTATTGACACATTACCTAAGTGAAGCTTATGAAAACACGTTACAAACCAAATCTATGTAATGAGGCCTTAAAAAAATCTATTTCTGTACACAAAATTATTATAGAAGGAACACTTAAGAAGAGAGTAGGACAAAGTAAAAGACAAGAAGCTTCCACATTTCACAAAGCGCATTTCACATTTTTCACCAGACTCACTCAACCCCTGTGTCTCTGCTCTTCTTCAGACCCTTTTGAACCCCGCTTACTCCCTGTGTCTCTGCTCTTCTTCAGACCCATTTGAACCCCACCCATTCCCTGTGTCTGAGCTTTTCCTCAGACCTATTTGAACCCGGCTCATTCCCTGTGTCTCTGCCCTCATTCACTGTCCTGGCTGAACTTCAGTGTCCATGCTTTCCACTAGATCTGTTCAGCTCAAATGCTATCCTTCATTGTTCCTGTTCAACTACTGGGTCTCTGCTCTCCTCCAGGCCCACATGTCTATGCCTTCCATGACTGTCCCTACTCATCTCCTGATGAACTTCACACCACTCCATCTTTACATCAAATCTAGATAGGTATACCTGTGCTCCCCCATTATCCTGGTCGTTTTTTTTTCCAGCCCCAATGCAAAACAAGGCAATTTGCCTTGTTACGGATGGACACCATTCACACCACCACATTGCGGTGAGAATGTGGTGGTGTGCGGTAAAAAAAGTACGGCATGCAGTACTTTTTTTTCAGCGCAGTGGGATGCGACACTGTGCAACCACCTTGCACCATGCTGTGCCCTTAGAAATTCAATGAAATGTCACTTGTGGCATTTCAATAAAGTTCTATAAAAAATATACACAATGCAATGTGCCGGGATTGACACATCAGCACCAGGCCAAGCATCTAACCCAAGCTGCTGTGCGATGTAGACCTGAATGTCCCTAAATGTATTCCTCAATAGTCACAGAGTATATAAATCCACTTTATGTGCACCAAACATCTTTGCAAACCAAAATGTTACCATATATAAGTAGTAGTGACTGCATCACTGTGCAGCACATAACTTGTACAGAGAGTAGAGCTGTAGGAGGGGTCCAGCAGACCCACCCACTACAGGCTGCCTGAAAATAAGTACAGGAGGGGGGCGGAGACAAGACCAGTCAAGGAAAGCGAGCAGAATTGACCAGTCTTTATTACAGGAAGCTCCTGCACAGAGGTAAAGTTTCACACTGGATTACTGCATAGATCTGGAAGAAATACACAAAGCACACCAAGATTCAAGTAAGAATAACTAGTTCAGTTTAGATTTCAGGTAAGAAGTAGCTTAATGCATTTATTGTAATTCCACATCTAACCAACGTTTATTGG